CTGCAGTGTTAGCCTGTGTGTGATCTCTTTCTTTTATAGAGAAGAGAGGATGCAGAGAGAAAGGTTCACTGCCAGTACCAGCTGCCCGCTTGAGGCTTTTTCCCAGTGCCATTCACCACTGGCTGATGATATACAGAAATGAAAGAAGAGTGGAAAAGCCGCCTCTCCATCAGCTGGCGGAGAGACCTGGTGTGCTGGGAGTCATGCCTGCACATGCCAGAATCCAGGAGAACAACTGTGAGGTGTGCTCTGAGGAGCCAGAGAAGAAATGGCTTGGGTAAGCAGAGTGGAAAACTCTGGACTTCCTCTTCCAGTGATGATGTGGTCAGGAAGGAGTCCCTCATGGATCTCTTGGGCTGACCAAGCTTCTCTTGCCCTCTTGCCTCCAGGAGGAAGTATCTGAGGTGGTGGCATCACGCAGTGATGCTGCACCAGTGCCAGCGTGGCAGGAGGCTGCGCTCTCTGGCAAGGGCATGGCAGCAGTGGAAGGGGGCCAGCAGCGTGGCACTGCTGGTGCGGGAGCTGGTGAGTGTCTCGTGTTATCAGGCAAGCCTGCTCTGCTTGCAGCCTCCCACATGCCCTGGGAGGTGAGACCCCAGGTGTTTAACAAGTACCAGGGTGCATTGGAAATCCTGGTCTCCTGCTTTGGCTACTTGTACCACCTTTCTCTCTCAAATGCCAGAGTGGCAGACTGGCATAATCATGTATTTGTTCGTGCTTTGATTTATTTTACACATGGGAAGCTGAGACTCGGGGTGATTTGTGTAGCTTATCTGCTAAGTCCAGAGCAAGTATCACAGTTTGTGTCCTCATCTGCATTCCTGACAAATCCCTCTGATGTTCATAGCCTACCAAGGGTGGTCATCTGACCTCACCTTTCCCTCAGTCCTGGCCAGCTGTGGAACACACTGGTATTCTGTGGCTTTCTGAGAGGTGCTCTAACCTGTCCGTGAGACAGGGTGAAACATATGTAGAGAGAGTCACTGAGGAGCTGTAGCTACAGCACGGCCAAGGCACCTTGCTTCAGGGTCTTGTGCCTTAAGTAACTGCAGTGTTTGCAGAAGATAAATTCAGCAAGCACTACGGTAGCTGTCACCTTCATTCGTTATCGGTGTAGTGTCATTCAAGAGGTCCCAGGGAAAGTGACTGGAAGCAAGGTGGGACTAAAGGGAAGTGATGTGGTTTGCCTGCCAGAGCTCACCTAATCTGCTCACTCTCTCTTTTCCAGGACAAACAGCGGCTCATGGAAAAGGCCTGGAGGACATGGAGACGACACTACCTGCAAAGTTGTGTGGTACAGAGTGTTTTGGAGGAGGAAGCCAGGAACCTACTCTCCCATGTAAGCATTTGTGCCTGCTTTTATTTTATTATGGATTCCAAGCCTCTGGCAGAGAGTCTGAAACAGTTGCATTGCCTCAAGGGTTAAAAGGTTAGCATCTAAGCTCCAGACACCAATTACTGTTCTGAAAATATCTGCAATTGCTGCTACTGCTTGAGAAGTGCTACATAATTAAGGTGCTAGATCCATGTGCTTCTCTTGCTCCTGAAAAGAGTTAGATCTCTACAGTAATGCAATAGCGACAGGAAGGGGTCTCCCAATAAATGGCCATGCTAGTAAATGGTGTGGCCATTGCTAGAGAAAGAGCTGTGATTACTGGTTCTGTGTGGGTGGCTACAGCCCCTCAAGGATAATCTGAATGTTTGATTTGTCCACTCTGCTATTTAAGGCATTTGGAAGGTGGCGCCGGCTAACAACATTCCAGCTGGAGAGCAAAGGACATTGCTGAGTGGGAGGAGGCTGCCTGCAGCTGATCATCTTGGGACAGGCAGAGGATACAGCCAGCTTCCACAACAAGGAATTGGTCCTGTGAAGGCAAGAGGATACGGACCACTGCTCGCATGATTAAAGTAATGCTCCAGGCATTATAACCAAAGGACGACAACCACCAAGAGATGGTACCTAGTGAAGTGTTCTCTTTAAAAAAGAACTGCTATCCTACCTGTCTACAGCTACAAACCTGAAACTTATTTCCTTTTCTTACAAGGTTATATTTATCTCTCATTTTGATTCTGATTTTGTTGATTGGAACTCTGATTAAAGGTCAAACCACTTTTACAGGTTCTCCCTTTACTCAGTGTTTCTTCCAGAGTGAGAGCTTAGAGCTTCTGCAGGGGAGTTAGCAAACAAATGTTAAAGAAATGAGCAGGAGCTTGCCTGCGCAAGCAGGTCTCGACTGTCTCTGGCTGGTGTGAATGCACAGGTCTTTATTTTTAGATTTGCTTCTTCCTTTGGAGGGGATTCCCATATGGCCCATTCCTCCTCCCCCTGTGCAGATCCATCAGCTCTTCATTAAGGTTTCCAGGAGGAGGCCAGCTTCTGCCTGCTTCCTGCTGCTTCATTTCAGTACTGAATGGACTCGGGATGAAGAAACCTGCTGGGAACAGCTGAGCACCAAAAGCTTTGCTGAGGCAAGACAGGCGTGTCTGACCCCCAACCCTCTTATTACTTGCTCCTGTGATTGATGCCCTATAATTACCCTAGGTATATGAGCCCAGACTCAGACAGCTATAATGAGAGGGTCTGAAGAAGCTGGAAAGGGCTTTTCTTCCTTGCTTGTTTGAAAGAGATGCTAGCAGCTTGGCAGGGATCTTGAAATCCCACTGGGATCAGCCCCAAGGCAGTGTTTTTCCTAGCCTGGGGTAGCTTTGTGGGATTGTTTAGTGCAACTGTAACAAAGCAGCCCCCTGGACCTAGCGGCCCCAGCCCCTTGTTGCAATACTCTGAGCCTAAGGCTAATAAGTGTCTGGGCAAGGAAGACGGGGTATTTTCCTACAAGTATTGGGAAAGGAGGAGCACAGCTCTTGTGCCTTGCAGAACTGAGCCAAAAGCTGCAGCTGGTTGCTCTTGCTAATTGTAGGATTTATGCAGTTTTGTTGCACTATGGGAGCTTTGCTCATACTTCAAGGTCCTTATTGGAAATACTGGCAGAACTGCTACAGGAGCAACTGTTTTCTTAAAACCTTTGGCCTGAGATGAGTTTGCAAACACTGTTTTTTTGTGTTGCTTGCAAGAGTATAAACCTTGTGCAAGAGATGTTTGCATTTTATGCATTTTATTCTCCTTATTCAAAGAAGTGTAGTGATTTCTACTCACTCTCACCCAGAAGTGAAATGCACATATTCCTAGCAAAAGGCAAACAAGAAATACAGTAAGAGAGGACAAACAGGAAAAGAAACAAAGAACCGTCTTCTGGAGTGAGTATGAAAGAGTCTGGTAAGATCTACTTGATTTTAACTGATCTTAGGAGTGCTATGAAAGAGTAGCTTGAACTTCATTTTAGGATTGGTAACTATACTGCAATAGTCTCATTGCATAGGCACTGCTGATTAGGAGTGTTTTGGTCCTGCAGCAGTATTTCTGGAATGAGAAGATGACCCCTAGGTCCCTGAACATCATCGTATCTGCACACAAAACTTCTCCTACACCTCTGATCAACACAGCACTGATTAGCACCTCTTTGCCCTGCAGCGCTGAACTTCAAGCTCAGCCTAGATTCTCAGCTCAGAGGTTCAAATGGTTCTGGCTGCTGTCCAGGGAAAAGGGACCAGGAAGCCTTTGTTCTGAGAACAGAAAAGCAGGCAGTGTAGACAGATTAGAGAGCTAACTTGGCTCTGAGCAGAGGTGGATTTTAGGAGTGCATGGTCCACCCGGATCCTGAGAGGAGCTGCTCTTTTCTCCCTGCAGTGAGTGGACGGAAAGAGGACATAAGGGGACGGAGGAGGAATTTTCACTGCTCTGTTGGAGAATTCAACAGCTCAAAAGTGTCATCCACTACCTGCCAGAGGCAGTTTTCAAGTGGGAAGTCATTGTCCACTAAATTGACCAAGTAGTAGTTGTCATGGATGTATTGGATGATCATGCGAGAAGGTGACTCCTCTTCATAGAGCTTGGCCCATTGCTCAATCCACAGTGCAAAGGCCTCATCCTGCCAAGGAAAAGGGAAAAAAAGAGTGTGTGTAGGAGTTGTTACACACCTGTTGGAGCTGTGTTTTCATACTACCTCATTTAGGACAAAAGCAACGTCATGTTATGGCTGGCAAGCATGTCACTTTTTTTTTTTTAATCTTGGCGAAAGAGGCAAGAGCTCAGGGTTTTGCTTTCCACAATCAGTGGAAAGTGTGAACAGCTGAAAGTGTACACAACTTGCAGTAAAATGGCTCAACACTGCCTCTGTGGGTGAGAGGAGAGGGAGAGATAAAGCCCCAGAGCTCTGGAGACTACTACAGTGACAGCAGTAGCTCTGCAGACTCCTCCTACTGGGTCTTTAGTGTATGTGAAAAGCTTTTGGGACGAAGCTCTACTGGGAACTGGGAGCAGCTGTATTTGGACCTCAGGCTAATATCACCACCACGCTCCGTTTTGAGTAGTGTTATAGATGTGAGGGTACAAACTAACAAGACCGTGGACTCCCTGGGCCTGACAGCAGCACTGTACCCCACAGGAGGGAGGACTCACCTTCCAGAAGAGGAAGCTTACAGGATCCACCACAGTGGGCTGGATGATCTCTCTGCCTGGAAAGATGCCCCAGGTGACAGCATTGGGTTGCAGATCAGGAGCATTGGTGATATTCTGGCCCTGGGAAAGGAAGGAAATGCCTTCTGAAGCAGCTGCTGGAAAAGCAGGTATTGACTGAACCAGTTCATTTACCCTGTCCTTGCTAAGGGATCAGACAGCTGCTGCATGTCACAGTTGACCTGTTTCATCTTCCCCTCCCTTGATGTGCCACTGTGTTCCTGGGGATGTCTGAATCTTTGGTATTTGCCTCTCCCTCAAGGTGGAGGAAGGAAAGTATCCCATAAATGGCAACCTACCTTGACATTGACAATGTGGTAGTTCACCCGCGTCTCGTACTTCTTCAGCACTTTGAGCAGGGCCGTGACGATTTCGCTGGAGGTGAAGAACTCTAGGTATGCCTGCAGCAGTGGGGAAGGGGCAGAGAGTAGGAGCTTTAACTCATGGCAGGGCTGGGACTTGGGGGAGCAACTGTGAGAACAGAATCATGCTGAGG